AAATATATTACAGAAAGCAGGATGTCTGTATACAGACATCCCGGGATGCAATGTAAACAGCATCCTTCATGCTATCAATACGTGAGTCAATATATCGGGCAATAATTGATCAATATATCTAATTTCATAGCTAGTGGCATCAGATGCTGTCCACGATATGTCGGGCGATAATTGATCCATATATCGACTAAATAGCTACTCTGATCAGTGTTTTTCACAAACCCGATATATCGGGTACGATATCGAGTCGCTCGCTATCATACCCGATGTAGCTACCATCGGGTATGATAGCGAGTATCAATAAAAGTGGTACGGATAGCTAGCTACCATAAGCTGATATTGCCCGATAGCATATTTTTATAGCTAGATATTTTCAAAGGCATTTTTTTGCTTGAGAATTGTCATTAAGGTCTGCCGGATCTATGTTTTTTGGCTTCGGTTCTGTAGAGAAAACTTGTATTTGGTACCCGTCTCGTGGTTCCGTTAATATTTGTCGAAAGTAGCGCTGGTAGTTTTTGTGTGAGTTATTTCTCGCAAAAATAGTCTTGAATTGTAAAAGGGTACAGAAACTAAGATATTTTAATGCGGCATACAATGGTGTTTTCAGAAAAATCTGGTTCCGATCCCGATCTTGTTAATGGTCTTGCGAGACTCGAATACAACTGAGTCCAGAACCGTCCCGCACACCTCTAGAATGAAGATATTGAAAATGACGCTCCTGGAAAAGAATTTGATATCACCAATTAATAACTAATGAACAAATGATAATACTTAGAATTTCTTTAGCAAACGTTTATCATCCTCATGTGCAAGTAAATGCGTGTATGGTTTAATCATTATACTGAATTTATCTACATGGATAGATTTGAATGGTCTTTTTATAGAATTACCCCTGATGGTACAAGCAACACCTGAGAAATGGACATTACCTTCTACGATGTCACTTGTCATCAGTCTGGCTAATATATTCCCATTAACCATTATCGCGTTAAAGTGCTGGCTGGGCAGTCGTTTTACGGAAATACCATTTATGTACATAATTATTGGTGTTGGTATTATCGCTTGTACAGCAATCGGTGTTGGATGGAAAATAACAATGTTCGTGTTTAATGCTGAACGAAGTATTTGTCTAATCATCGCTGTATTTTCATTAGCAATACTTGATTGTTCATCAAGCTTGGTATTTCTGGATTATATGAAACGGTTTCATACGTCATTCTTAACAGCGATGTTTTTTGGTGAAAGTTTAACTGCAACAATGCCAACATTTTTAGCATTATTGCAAGGTGTTGGTGGAGAAATCACATGTACAAGAAATAATTCTGTAACCAATCTATTTGAGCCAGTTTATAGCGAACCAAGATTCAGCGTTTCGATCTTTTTCTTTCTATTATCGGGTATAATAACGTGTTCGTTTATTGCATTTGTAATACTAAGATGGACATTACTTGTTTATATTGCTAATGCTGAACCAAAGGTAAGAGAAAGCTATTTTTGACGTA